AACAGACCTCATCTCAAGACGAGCCCTCGAAGGTTGTCCACGAAGTCGTCAAACCAGTCATCCAAGAGGTCCGCGAAGTCATCCAACCCTACAGACAGTTGACACAAGAGGTGCAGCCCGTCGTCGAGAATGTCCACACAGTTGTCTCGCACGGAGAGGGTATGTCATGACAGGGGAAAGGCATCCGAATATTAATACTAATGTGAGTCTCGCTGTCCATCAGGTGTTCGCCAGCAATACGTGGCGGAGCCCATCCAGAGGGCACAGATCCAGACCGTGCAACAGGTGGCCGTCCAACCCGTCCAGCAGTATGTGGCCCAACGCGTACAGGTGCCCGAACTCAGACAGGTTCAGATCCAACAGGTCCAGCCCATCCAAGTCCAGCCCATCCAAGTCGAGGCCCAACCCCTGCACTACCAGACCATCCAAGACGTGCAGCCCATCGCCGTCCGCGCCTACACCCAACCCATCCATCAAGTGGTGGCCCACCAGGGTATCCGCCAAGTGGTTGCCCCGCAGGTGACCCGCTATGCCGTCCAACAGCCGGCGCTCGCCATCCGAACCAACGTCAGAGAGAATGTGTTGGCCAGAGAGACACCCGTCCAGAGGGGCACCGACTTTGTGAAGTACGTCGAGAGTGACAACTAATTCAATACCAATCCTACGATAAATGTATTAAAAAAACTCATTAAAACATAAAAAATCAAAACTTTTCTCACATTTACTGTTAAACTCAAATCCAAATGTATTTTCTGTTTTTTGCGATCAAATAAAACGTAAAATTCAAGTTTTAAACGAAAGTATATATTGTTTGGTGTGATGTCAAGAATATTTCATACCTAATAAGGTGTCATATTCTCATCACATACACGCAAATGGCATAAAAAAAATTTCCATAACTTTTCACAATTAATCCAAACCTCATAATCCAAGCAAAACCACAACTATTTTTCCAAACTTTAAGTGTTGACCAAACCCTCGATAATAGACTTTTTATATGTGAGGAGTTGTGACAGTCTTTGACACTTGAAATCTCTACCATAAAAGAGACATTTTTAAACTCATTCCCATAATGGGAATCATAGCTTTAGCTTCACTTTAGTTTTTTATTTAATTTAAATTTTTATACATAACCGGTGCGGCAATTAGACATACTGTCGGTGTTTGTTTTGCTTTTATATTTAAGTCCGCACCGGTTATGTGTTTAGGTTTAGGGTTAGTTTAGGTTTAGTAATTTATCCCCTGTAGTACCACACAAGTGAAGTTGTACTTGTGTAGGGAGGTGTGGTGGTGGACCCTTCCCCCTAAATTTTAATCCAATGTTTTTATAATTCAATTGTATTTTTTGATTAATTAATTTAAATAAAAATTTTAATTGTATTCATTATTTGCATCTCTATTGGAAAACTTCTAAACTTTTTTAGCAAACATTTCTCATTTCTATACATTATTTTTGTACACAATTTCTCTTTACTGCCATTTATTTCTTACTTAAAACCTCTTAACTAACGAATACTTCTCTCTTAGACT